ATCGCGCCTTTTTCTTGCGAGCAGAGGTCTCCGAAGGAAAGACGCGACAGTGCCTTCTCCCGACATCACATTTGAGAAACCACAGGAGGACCGACCTTGGCATTCATCGGTCTAGTCCATTGTTCCCATATGAAGTCTCTTGATTCCGAGAAAAAATATTAGGAATTGGTGGCCGAGATGACCTCGTGTGCAGTTTTTGTAGTCCACAGAACTGGCGACAAGCCCTCCCAGTCCAACCTCAGCGGGATCTAAAGGTCACCAAGCGCTCCTCCGCGTGTCGCAGCTGGAACATCCCTATCCCCCAGCGGCGCAACCTCGAGTACAACACTATCGTCTTTTTTTCTATACTATATGCACACACCCGCCACCATCTCATTTTTCCGAGAGGAGGATTCCCACCCCCCCACCGCGCACGCGGTATTTGTGTCCCGCCGTCCCACGCCCTTGGGATTGTTTTGTTTTTTTCAACAAGTTTTTTTGGGGGGGGGGGGGGGAGGGTTGGTTGGTGGGTGGTCAGGGGGGTTTTCATCTGGGGGGGGGGAAGGTGGGTGAGGGTTGTTCTAGATGAGGGTTGGGAGGAAAAAGGAAAGAAAAAAGGATAATGAAGGATGGGAAAGGGGGTGAAGGAGGAGGCGGTGTGGGACTGGGGACCGGTACTGACCTCCTTGGTGGTGGTGCCGCTAGCCTCGAGGTTCGCCCAGACGGAGTAACCCTCGGCGCGGAGCGAGCGGGCCAGGAAGGCAGTGCCTGGGTTTCATGGTCAGGACGTTTTTCCCGGGTAGGTTAAGGGGTGGGGGTAGACTCACAAACATCCGTCACAATGCCGGCAATGATGATCTGCGTGCGGTTGGTGGCCTTGATGGCGGCGCGGAAATCCGAGTTGTCCCACGCATTGACCTCGCCCTCGCGCTTGATGAGAGGGGCGTCAGGGTACATGTCGAGGATCTCCTGGGGCAGGACGCCGTTAGGGCCTGGGTGCAAGGTTAGCTAGCGGGCCTCGAAAGCCACAGAATGGTAAGGTGACACAAACCAATCTCGGTCGAGGTCGTCATGATAACGGGCAGATCCTTGAAGAGGGTGCCGAGGCTGGCATGGGCCATCATGCTGTCACGGTAGAGGGTCGGCATCTGGGCAGGGTCAGCAGTGGATCGGCATTGTCTCTTGAGCGAGCGGCTGCGTACCCCAGTCGCGGGCCACGCTGTAGAGGCCTTCCTGCATGTCGAGAATCACGAGCACCTGAGCAGGTTAGTGAGTGTGTCTCGGGGAGGTGGCGGCAACCATACGGAGTTGTTCTTGTCGAGCCTCTCGAACGGGAAACCTGTGGTTGGGTTAGTCATGGGGTTGCCACGAGCTGGCGTGGGGGTTCTCACTGTCGGCGATGGCGGTGCCGACCATGAGGCCGGCAGAGAGCAGGGCGGTAGCGAACTTCATGTTGTCAGGTCAAGGAAGTGTATGTGCTCGTGGTTGGCTTGGGCTCTGATGATGATGGGTGGCTGCTGTGACCTGATGCCGGGAAGCAGAAGGGCGTCGTCGATGGCCCTCTTATATACACAATCTCCTCACACTCTCCCTCCACCCGCCAGTGCCTTTCCACATTTCACATCACAAGTGATAGCGGTCGAGAACTCGGCTATCCCCTAGCTGCATCGCGGACCCCGTCCGACCCAGGCATCCAGTTCGTCCAGTCCATCCAGGCCAACCCACAAGGAAAGATCTCCGCCGAAGAATCGCCATCATCTTTTCTCTTCCCCCCCATTCCGCCGTATTCCCGCCGTTGCCGCCCCCCATTGCCCTAGCGATATCGACAGCCCTAGACATGAGCGTGTCGTAAAGAGTGGTTCAGCATTGGCTAATCACTGCTCATCCAAGTCATATCCAAGTCATGCATCACAAATGGGGGGTCATCATCATGTTGATGTCGTAGTCACTATGGAGCACTGCTGCAGTGTACCGAAGCGAGGCCGCCATGATCGCCGCTGGAAACCCCCAGAGTTGGGCGAGGTTGATGATATTTCCCACCAAGCATTATGCAATTCTGACGCTGCAAAAGGCGGCGACGACGTTGTTGTGGGATGGCCGACATGACTAAGGCAGCGGTTTGTTTCCCCACAAAAGAGCCTTGGCGGCGGGGTTATGTCAGCGATTGCCAAGCGCTCTCCGCACACTCAAATGCTGTCCAAGCGCTGATGGAACGTGCTTCCAGATGGCTGATTCAGCGCCCTGGTTGGGATCTGGAGCTGTTTCCCCTGCATGCCTCTTGGCGCTTCGTACGGAGGTTACAGGCAAAAGTTTTCAAAGTGGGTCAGGTACTGGCAAGGGTTATGGGCAGGGGCCAAGCAAGCCCCCGAAGTACCTCCTGTTGCCAAAGCGCGTCGCGCGCAGCAGTCAATTCAGAAAGGAATATGCATTCCGTTGGCATCAATAACTGCCTGCTGCCGTATAGGCATTGTATCTACACGCTCCCTAAGGAATTCCTCGGGGATTGCTTCCCACGCAGCGTATACCGCTTGACGTAGTTGATCGTATGACATCTTTGCTGGGTAGTTCTCTGCGATGTAATCTTTCATCCAGTTCCATGCGTTCTCGATGGGATTCAGATCAGGGCTATACGGGGGATGGCTGTACACCGGAATCCCGCGAGCCTCAAGCTCTTCGCGCGTAGCGGATCGCATACCCTGAACAGTCCCAGCCTAGAGCAGCAGGGATTTTGGAGTAGGGCATTCGGCGAGTAGCTTTCGAGGAAGTGATGAACGCAATCAAATCTTCAATCTGTTCTGGATTGAGAAGGCTGGGCCGACCAGAGCGTTTCTTTGGCGTGATGTTTGGGGCGCGGCAGGCATGTCCGACCTGGTTGTAGGTAAAGCCGAGTTGCGCGACGATTTGCTCGTATGTAAAACCACATTTGCGGAGAGTCTGAACTTGAAGCCGCTCATCGCGAGAGAGATCGGCGCTCTTAGAATGATGGCTCGGCGGCGTAGAGGGGAGCTCTGAAGACATCGCGAAGCTGGTGATGTTTGAATTGACTGCTGCGCGCGACGCGCTTTGGCAACAGGAGGTACTTCGGGGGCTTGCTTGGCCCCTGCCCATAACCCTTGCCAGTACCTGACCCACTTTGAAAACTTTTGCCTGTAACCTCCGTATTACACGAATCTTGCAAGCTGAAGATATGCTAG